GATAGAGATAGAGATAGAGATAGAACTACTACCGGTACTTACTACTTGTACTACTATTTAGGGGTGGGCAATATAGCTCAAATATAATATCGTGATATTTCAGAGCATTCTGATGATAGCGATAAATTTCGTGATATAACCAAAAAAACACAAATCAGTTATTTGACAAAATTAACATGTCGCTTTGCAGTATTATATAAAATAAAATTAAAAAAACAAGGGGTAATTTTACTGAATTTACTTTATTTAGTAAAGTATTCAGTCTCCAAGTATAAAAATAAAAAAGATCCTTCTGTTATTTAGATTGAAAAAGTCTGCACAAAATATAGATCAATAAATCCACCACAAAAACTAAAGTGCAGGTGAAGTTTCCCAAAATAAATAAAATAAAATGAAGCTTATGATCTGTTGAGCATAAATGTAACGTACAACAAAATATATGTTGCCTTTAAATGAGCTATAACTTCCAGAACTTGTAACAAGGTGATCAGCTGACCCTGAAGCTTGTGGTGTTTCAGTTCCTCTGTTCCTGCAGGAATGATTCATTTCTCTGATGCTCTGTCTCTGATCACCTGACTCTGTTCTTGCTCCATGGACCGTGGAGCTCAAGAGACAGACCTGTGCGTGTTTGTACCTGCAGTTTAGAGCGGGGTGCGGAGAGACAGCTGAGCCGCACCTTGTTTGTTTTTAGCTTTTTAGCTAGCTAGTATTGCGCGCAGCTAATTAGCGTTACACCAGTACCAACAGGTGCGCAATTCGGTGCGCTCGGTTCTGTTAAAGGGACGGGGCACCCTGACGTATTACGTCATGAAATTAGCATATCATATTATTTTTTTGCCTGGGCAACTTTTTTTTTTACCGGTATTATTGTGAACGATATGATAAGGCCCAGCCCTACCACTATTCCTACTTTGCGGTTTTTCACTTATCGCAGGTCTTCAGGGTACAGATCCCCTGTGATAAATGAGGGACTACTGTGTGATGCTTTGGATGTCAGTCAGATTTTATGATCTTGTCTGTAGTTAGAGAAAACAAAGAGAAGTTTTTGAGCTGCGTGCATTCCGCTGGGACTGCTGCAAGATAAAGAATAAAGATGAATTCATTGTGAAATAATTCTTTATTAAATTCTTGAAAATTGTGTTATCTTGCTCAACAAAAATTGAATGACAGGTGCTGGTAATCATGATTTCATAACTTATTTCATGTGTGTGTGTGAAGCTGGTAAGACATTTTCATCAGTGATCAGTGTTTAAACAGTCTGCCTTCACCAACATTTTCACCGAACAGAACAGCTATGTGCGGACGTTGGGAAACGACTCCTGCCTACTATTCTAAAAGTTAATGACTGAATTAGACTGGGATGTTTAAAAGAGCCAGACATTCACAATATCTGAGGACTGTTAAGTCTTATTAGCTCATTTCTGCCTTTCCTTTTGAAACAAATTGGACTACAGTGAAGACAGTGTGCTGAGTTCAGTGCATTTTATTCACCGTTTTATTTGAATTACATAACTGGACATGTAACGTCTACACTGCAGCCCATCGTGTACTAAAGGTTTAAAGATCAGCTGATAAAAATCTTTGTGTGCATTTATGGAACCAATCAGTAACCTGAGCTCAGAAGAGTAGAGCCTTTAAAGCAGCAGCCTACAGAGAGCAGAGCTCATGGGTAAAACAAACTCAGCTGACCTTGGATGTGCCTGACTAACAGGAAGAGGCACATTTGTCTGTATGCCTGCAGGAACGTGTGCATCACCATTAGCTGCCTTGAGGCGAGCAGAACTCCATTTGTCACTTCCTGTATGACACGCTGCCACTCTCGTGTGTGCATAACAGCACCGGGACAAACCCGGGTTTTGTGGCTGGAGCCCAGCTGGCCACAGTGAGGCATCGTTCAGTCCTCACCAATGAGTCGGAGAAGTGAAGTCAGAGAGATGACGACCGTATGAGCGTTGAGGTTTGAAATAATCGCATCTGTTTAAAAACATGTAAAGTGTAAATTAAACCCTATGGAGGTGTCCGTCGGCTCAAAGGGTCACATGGATTCAAACTGCTTGGTAGCAGCTGATCGTGACTCTTCCGTTTTTGCTTTGAGACCCTTTTTCAGCTTGATTTAATTCCCCCTGTACCATTTTTGATCAGGATAACTAATGTCCTCCCTTTGCTCCTCCATCATCTCCACAGTTAACCTGCTTCTGCTTTTGGGCAGCATGACAGAAGAACTTGAGTACAATTCCCAGTTTGCACCTGGGGTCTTTCTGGGTTTGTGTTGGTTTTCTCCAGATACTCCAGTTTCCTCCTGCCTGTTTAGGCTGCCGTCAGGCCCGCGGGCCTATCATGTGATCCCAATGGGATTTGCCTGGTTAAATAAAGGTTAATGATAATAATAAAATAATTTCCAACTCCTCATAAAAAGTGTTTGGTCTTTGTTGTTATTTTCACGTATACAATGGAACTGAACAAACAGTTCTTTACACTTTGTTACTTTTAGCTAGTCTCTTATTGTTATTGTAGCTACAGTTTAAACTCTTTGCTTTTATTTACCATTTTGGTGCTTTTAAGACTTTTGACACTTTTAGCTAGCTATTTGCTACTTTTAGCTAACTATTTATTTATTTTAGCTTGTAGTTAAAATTTCGCCACTTTAAGCTTTTAATAAATCTTAGCTATTCTTATTGACACATTTAGCTAACTATTGGAAAATTTTAGTATGAAGTTTATTGTTTAGCTACCAGTTACCACCTTAAGCTACTAATTAGGCTTTTTTTACTTTTAGTTAGCCTTTTGCTATTTTAGCTAGCTACCATTCTGCCACTTTTATTTTTCTTTTGTCGTATGTAGCTGTGACAAAAGAGTGGTGGCGCAGAGGTTAGAGAAGTTGGGCCTGTGATCGGAAGATTGCTGGTTCAACTCCCGGTACCAACAACATCAAAATGTGGGTAGGAAAGGTGAAGCACCCACACCTGTCTTCACCCTCATTTGTCCCATTATGAGCCCTTGAGCAAGGCTCTTAACCCCCACCATCTGCTCCCCAGGGTGCCCTAGATGGCAGCTCTCTGCTCCACACAGGGGGATGCGGTAGCTCGGTGGTCTGTGGTTGAGTCAGGAAGGAGATCCAGCGTAAAAAGAATTGCCAAGTCTTTGTGCGAGTTAGTGAAGAAGAGAGGAGCCGAAAAAAAAAAGTATGCAGTTTATTACTTTCAGGTTCAGGTTCTAGCTTTCATTCATCCACTGTTAGCTTTTAATTGTTATTTTGTCACATTGAGCAAACTTTTTGCTACTTCTAGCTAGCCTTTTGCTATTTCAGCAAGCTTTTAATTGTTTAGGTTTATCATTTTGCTACTTTTGCTTTTATTACACTTTTGCTACTTTTAGCTAGCTTTTTACCACTTATCGCTAAAACCTTGTCACTTTTGGCTTCTAAACTTTGCTGTACTTTTAGCTAGTTGTTTACTACTTTTAGCTACCATTTTGTCACATTTACCTCTAGATTAGTCTTTTTTTACTTTTAGCATTCCTTTTAGTTTTTTTTAGCTAGACTCCAGCATTTTATTTTTAGCTTCTATGTACCATTTTGCCACTTTTATCTTTAAATTAGCCTTCTTTTACTTTTAGCTAGCCTTTTGCTTTTTGTATATAGGTAGCATTCAGCTTATTTTTAGCCAGCTTTTATTATTTTTAACTTCTAGCTAGCATTTTGCCACTTTTAGCTAGCATTTGGTCACATTTAGTATAGTTTATTTATTTTAGTTTGGCTTTTGCTATTTTAGCTATCAGTTTATTACCTTTAGCTTTTAGCGCTCTGCTTTTATTAACTGTAACGTCTGCATTTCAGCTGCATTAGCAAATTTCAGCAGTCTTTCAGCACTCAGTGTTTACAGTTAGATATAATGAGCTAAAACTCAAAATAAAATCCAGGCTACAAGGGGGGAAAAACTTTTTTTGTTTAAGAATGACTCTTGCAACGCCCTGAAGATTTCAGAGCTGAGCAACAACGTCATTTCATCAACATCTGGACCTTTTTCTACACCTGCTTCCCTTGTTTTCTTCTCATTCACAGAATATTTAGTCCACGTCCCTCACAGCTTCATGACTTTTATCTCGTTTAGTGTGAAAACACTGAACCAGACAAACTGCTGCTTCATGTTCTGTCCTGATTAAAACCCGGACACCTTCGGTTCTGTTCTGGAGCATCTCTGGGGGAACTGCAGAGGGGAGCGATGAACGGTCTGCTCCGTCTGGGTGATCAGAGGGAGGAGGAGGAGGAGGAGGAGGAGGAGGAGGAGGAGGAGGCAAAATGTGGATGTGCTTTCTCCAACTGTGGGCAGTAAAAGAATGATCTTTCTTGTGTTTTAGGCATCAGATTATCTATCAGCTGATATGTTTTTGGTAAACGGGGTATTGTTACTTTGACAGATTACAATTCAAGTGGCACTGACAACGAAATAAATATTCTGAAAGGTTTTTTTTTTTTTTATCCAGTGGTTCACAAGATATTTTTCTAACAAAAAGTTATAAACTAAGATGCTTTGCAATGTGTAGAACTTGGCTTATGTGTTGCGAATTGTTCAACTACCACACTAAATTTTCGCTCATTATCTGTTACACTGACTGTGTTAGAGACATTTTTGTGTTTCTAAATCTCGATTAGCTACGACACCCACCTTGAATCCAGGTGACTCCAAAAGTTCAACAGATGTAGGCATACATCCAGAGATTAATTTCTATGAGTCTTGTTAAAATCCATTCAGTGGCTTAGGAGATATTTTGCTAACAGACAACCAATGTTTAGGCC